TGAAGTGTTCTTTTACTTTTTTGTCCGGCTAGGACGTAGCAGTGATAGAGTATCTCCTGTTATGAAAGGTTATATGTCAACTGAGCAAACAGATGATATGGGATAATGAGATAACGGGAAAAAATAAGATAAGATTTATCAATTTGCCAAGCCTCCTCACAAATTTTATTCGGTTTGACTGCAACATAATCCGTTAAAGAATGAAAATAAGTGCTCATTACTTCGATAACTATCTTGATGCTAAATTTAGAGTTTGTAAAACGTTCGTTATCTGATAAGCATCTACTACTTAGAAAATATTTCCTTTTCATTATTGCTGTTTACTACGAGGTGAGGAAACCTACTCACAAAATACAACTGATTAGATTATTTCACATCAGAGGCCGATGCATATTTAGGATATATTTTCCATGATAGGATATTTATCCATATAGAACATTTTTTATTATAAAATTAAGGTAATATTCATATATAACAAGACGATTTCATCATCTTGTAATGTTAGGGTATATGTACACTTGAGACCTATCATAACGAATACATAACTCGTCTCAACGGAATTATATATATTTTTTAAATTTCATTAGCAGTGAAGTATGTTTAAGAATTTTCAAACATTGTTCCATCACTTTGATGCCATTACAAAGAAAAAAACATAACATCAGAAATTTAAGCTTTGAAAAGAGAAACAGCGAGGAAATTTCTTCAGAGTGTAATAGTAGCCATGAAGTTAAAGGACGGCCACCAGCGGATAGACCGACCAGTTGGAGAGCCTCTCTCAACGCATCCGTTTCTTATACATTGAGGATTTAACCTTTATTGGTGTTATTACCACCGCGTATATTATCTCGCTACCTGTTCAAATTATTTCATTAATTATAATTCGCGTTTGACTACGGTTCGTAGGAAGTCAGTTAAACAAAAATTATAATACTATTGTAGTTACACGGCAGTTTTGGCCGAATAAAATACGTGAAAATATCATTACCTAGTTGAAAACTAGTTTCATTCCTATAACCGAATTATTAGCTTTACATACTTTAATTACTGAACAAAAAGCAGTTTTAATCTTGGTCATTTGCACAGATAAAGCTAAGCGGCAATATAAGGTGTACGTATTTAAAAAATTGTATTTAAATGCCGTCATAATTATTAAAATTTTATCATGAAAATTGTCCATAATCTGAGAATCTCCCATATAGGTCTTCTATTATTTTAACATTGAAAAGATTGGATGTAAATATCGTACCATAACATTCATACAGTTTCAATGGTAATCAAATATATCGAAATATCAAAAACATAATCCATATTTCGGTTATCGAAGTTATTAATCTTTGAAATAAGGGGTACAAGATTAATTTTGATGAAGTTTCAGGCAAAAAAATATCGATTTATTGAAAAAAATAAATTGATATTTTTTTTTTAGTAAATTTTCTTTTAAAAAATTATCTATTTATTAGGAGCTAGAAAAAACTCAATGAAATTAAATGAACATAAAAAAAAAAAAAAAAAAATGGAAGGAAGAACCCTAATATTAAATAAATTACTAAAAACCTATAAAAGTACTAACGTTTATTATTAAAAATTATTAATCAAAATTGCACTAATAATGACTGAAATTTATGTAAAGAATTCACGTTTTTATTATTAACAAAAAAAAGATTATTTAATTCGATATTTTTCAGATGTTTAGAAATAAATTCATTTTCGCTCACCAACGAGGCAATTTTTTTGTTTATTTTAATTTTTTATTTGATTACTATTGTTATTATATATATATATATATATATATATATATATATATTTTTTTTTTTTTTTTTTTTTTTTTAGAAATACATCGGATTACGTTAGTCAAATTATAATTATTCAATATCAGATATCAATCTTGATCTAGACACCCGTACGGTTGAGAAAACATATATTGTCCATTTAGCAATAGTAAGAGTAATACATTAAAACGAATTGTACCAACCGAAGAAGCGAGGTATTATTAAATATTTTTTGAAAGATGAAACCAGAACCAATCTATAAAAACACTTTAATCCAAATTTTCAATGCCATCCATAAATAAAAAATATTTTGGCTTAAAATACTTCAACCAGAAAAACTTTTATTGAAAAGGGGGATTTCAACTCCATTAATTCTCCATGTTAGCGCGGCGTTCGGTGAATTTATAGATAAATGACTAAAATTATATCTTATAACGATCCAATAAACGAGTATGTTGTAAGTAAAAGGTATATTAATTTAGCCTCCTCTGAACAGAACAAATATACGATTATTTTCAAGGAGGTCAATAGCCTCAGTGGATATAACGAGGTCTGGTATGATATTTCTATTAACAATAAACAAATATAGAACAGTAGTGATAATGGAAATAAACATAGCCTAAAACTATATTATCAAAAAGAGATAAAAACAAAGAGAACTGAGCAATAATAATAAAATACAAACAAATCACAGACCATGTCTTAATTACAGCTTTCCTATAAGATTGGGCCTTTTTAATTAAATCTTGGTTGAAGCCTACAAAAGGAATACATAACCTCAAAATATACTCATTCGCTTATATATATTATGTTATATAATTAACTGGGGGAATGGGGTAGCTCAGAGGTACGGCACTGATCTTGCAATGCTCAAGGTCCTTGGTTCGAATCCCAACTTATAACAGAAAAATTAAATAATTAATTAATTATTAGTTAGATAATTAAGTAAGGTGGAAAACCTGCGTGATCTCAGTCAAATCACCTCCTTGCACAACCGTTGGCTAAGAAACAGTACTTTCCCTAAAGAGTACTGAATCCCAAGACCCTTCATGGGTTGTAGTGGTACAGTTTATATATTTAATTGAAGTGAACAGAAAATAAAAATGTATGCTATGATCGATTATATTTGACAATATCACGTCTATGCGATTGATTTAAAGAACCACTGATTCCTTGCAGTATCCGACATCTCAAAAATTTGAATGCAATTATAATAACCGTATGATAATAAAATACACAGCAATGAACAATTATATGTGATGGCACAGATTATCATGTGTAATGAACAGGGTAATGAATATTTTCATTTCTCTAATTTATTTCTTATCCTATTTGCAACCGTTGGGATATCTTTGGGATATGTTGGGAAGGGGCAGGTCATGGCGCTAGAATGCATTTAGATAAATGCAATTCCTAGGGTGCTAATGACAGAACCTTGCGAGAACGTCAAGCATACCAAGATTGTAACAGTCAATCAGATAATGTTGTAAATGGTAACAGTAAATGGAAGTTTAAATAGTGCGAACTATGATGAGTAGCCGTTGGGTGAATATTACATTAGAGGTCTACTATTGCGAGTAGGACAGTTGACAGCGCGCAAACTACAGTATATATATATATATACTGTCCACTTTTGTTTCCTTAACAGATCACTTAACACTTGTTCACAACGTCTGAGCCGATGCACATACTTCTCCTTTCTTCTCTAGCTTTAGTCGTCTCAGATGATTTATTATTCGACCCACTTCTGTTTAGGCTAAAAGTCGGCCATAAATGACAATAACACCGTTTCTTATAAACTCCTGAATGAAAGCACCATTTGACTATACGAGTTGGCATCGGAGTAACGCGCACTGAAAGATATTCGTACAGTATAAACTACCGCTTAGGATAGAAAAAACAATCAGATGGCTTCAGTTATCTACAGAAATACTTGGTGATTGACACAAGAGTAAGCCAAGATTCTATTGTGTATAATTATGTTTTTGAAACAATGATAATATTTATTTATACAGTGAAAAGAAATAAATATATTAAGATTTGGCTAAGGAATTAGAGAAAGTTTCGGAATTGGGGACCTACGTGATTTTTCAGTTTCCTTATAGAAGCGTAAAGCAGAGGACTATCAAGGTGGTAACTACCTTTCCCTAAAAATGTGGAGTAGGGTTCAGCAAACGAATGTTAGAGTTTTAGGGTAGAGCAATTCTTGCATTGATACAAAATTAATCAAATCCAATAAACGTAACCTAGTCCATGATTGTTTAAATTCCAGGTCTTAAAATATCCCTGCTATTGGCAGTTGGAAGGGGAAAATTAATTATTTTTTCCACAAATATTTTTCTCAAAAGAATATATAAATTCACTTTCATGATTGCATTATCATTCTATAAATGTACGAATATAAACGAAAAATTTAATTTGTAGAGATTCACGATCAAAAATATTCACTTAAGACCGTGAATCCAGGATAAATCCGTATTATGTTTCGATAAGATTACAAGCTTTGTTAAAGAAGATAACGAAACAGAAAAAAGTTGTTAATAATAATATAAGATCTACTTCCAATATTTTCGGTCGGGGTACAATACAATGTAACAAAGGTTCACAAGAACGTTTAATAAATAGACACTATTGTTTTTTATTTTTCCACAAAAATAATTCAGCTAATCTCGAAAGTTTGGATGGTCAGGTATGAAAATTGCATGAAGGGGTAATTGAACAGCTTGTTCAATCCCAACAAAAAATTCCCTTATTATTATTTTCTCGTAATCTGGCAGATTTACTGAGCTTAGAAGAAAAGATAAATTAATAAAAACTGTTCGAGCATTTCCTAATCACCAGCATAAATACTACGAAGGTTCTTAATTTCGATATTCCTATCTACACTAAGTTATAAAAATTTTAATAAAAGTTTTATAAAATTAACTTGTCGCTAGTTGATGGATTCATAGACAGAATAGAAATAAACGATGTAGTTTTTAAAACATATTTGAGAAATTTTAAATACGCTACTTAAAATATTAAGTTCACATAATTAAGTTACGAAGAAATTTGGGACCCCACTTCCAAGTACCTGGCTAGAACATTAATAGGAGAAAACACTTGAGGGAGAAGAGATGTAATCTGAACAGCAGGGAGCGACTGTAGTAAAAAAAGTGGATAGCTGGCCGAACCCCCTCCACTACTCCTGATAATAGACCATTTATAAGGACAAGGCACACCGTGGCCTCCTCAGTGTGTGAGAGGTCTTTCGTGTATTTCCTCCAGGCTGCAATTCACCGCGTCGCGTGTGAAGGCAGTTCAAGTCCGTTTGGATATCAACACATTCTTCTCTACGTGGTATGAGGAAGGATTTCATTCGTAGGATAAGACATACATCATCCAACCATTTTGCGGAAAACCTACTCCATATTCTGTAAATAGACCGTTATACCCCACCTTGCCAAAATATTGGACTCTTGTGAAGTTTTCTCAGTGTTTCCTTACATTTGTTTCATAATTTTTTCAGAGTTTTATAATGTGCCCTACCAGCTTTACCATGGGAACCAAAGGAAATATAGAAAATATCTTGCCATTAAGTGGTGAGTGTAGTCTTATGTTATTTGTTAAAAATAGACTGATGTAATTTTAAATTATTTTATCAGTTGTGATAGGTTATTCACTGATAAGGAGTAACTTGCTATTTTCTTAATTCTGTATTTAAATATTGAAACATTAGAAATTTCTTATGCCTAAACTTCTTTATAAATTGAAAAACTTTTTATGTCAAATGCGGTTCTTAAAATGCTTTTATTACTGATCAATGAAAATACCCATTAGTCATGCAACAACTCCTTTATCAGTGAACCTCCCACCAATATTGAGTGGCCTACTATTTTTGATATATTATCATTGATCAGCTTCGAAGTAGAATAAAAATGTTAAATATAGTACACCAATATCAATTCTTTAAGATCATTATGTTTTAAAATCATTTGAAAAAAAAACCATTAAATATATTACTTAATGCTACTATATCCTTAAATAGTTATTTAGTTCTTTGCATGGAATGATTTCAATATTGGAATAGCTGATTTATTTAATCAAGCTTTATATATATATATATAATAATAATAATTAGGTTTTATTTTATTTTTATAGTCTATATATATATATATTTATATATGTATATAAATGTATATATATATATATATATATATATATATATATATATATATATATATATATAAAATTTTAATCAAGGTTTTTTTTTCTCAGGCTCTGGCCACTTTGTGCCTCTCGTTGTTGTACTGGTAGGATTACCAGCCAGAGGAAAAACGGTTTTAGCTCACAAATTAGAACGGTATTTGAACTGGAATGGCCATCAAACCAGAGGTAGGAATATATAAAATCATAAATTTGTTACAACTATTGCTAGTTTTATCATAGTATCAAATTAACCTATTGTTCCAAAATTTGAGTTTTGAAAAGAATGTTTATTTTCAACAATGTATAGTTCCGTGATGCTGTAATGTTTCTTATGTCTTATTATATTAAATTCTATTTTTGACTTCATTAAATTATAATTTTTTTAAACATTCATTACGTTTCCAATAATTAAATATTATTTCACAGTTTTCAGCGTTAGCTCGTACAGAAAGAAACATGAGAGCCAACTTTTTAAAAGCAGAGACATTATGTGCCCTATTGATTCAAAAACAGCAGAAATAAGGAATGCTTATATTCATGAAGCTATTAATGACACTCAAAGATGGCTCAATGTTGGAGGTGACATTGCTGTAAGTTCGTATTTTCATTTAATTGTTTAAAAATAAGATAAGATTAAATATCCAACATGTGATTGCATAATTAAATCATCCACTGGTAGTTAAAAGGAATAAGAAACAATTAGAGAGTTTCCTTCTGAAAATTTTATTGCTATAATAAAAAAAAAATCAATTACTTCCTTTTCGTTGCTTAGAATTTCATCATTACCAATAAAAGATATTTTAGTTCAATTTAAATTATTTTATTGACAGTTTGATTTGAAATCAATTAAAATTAATTTGATAAAGTTATCTATTAAAGTGTCATCAATCATCATGGAAAATTTCAATTTGTTTCATATAGTTTCGAAAATATTATAAAGTATTTATAAGAATAGCTCATGTTATGATTTTATATTTGAATTGTTTTATTACTAGATGAAAAATTAAAAATCCCTCCTTTCTTTCTTCCTAATTACTTTATGATCTTATTTTCTTTTTTTTGTTTCTTTCAGATTTTAGATGGAACCCATCCCACTTTTGAAATTCGTCAATTACTTCATGATTTTTTTGTAAAACAGTTATCTTATAAAATCCTCTTCATTGAATGCATTCTGGATGATGCAAAGCTTATTGAAGAAAACATAAAGGTATTGTATTATTATAATATTATCATGTATATCTTTTTTTCGTTACAATGTCTTCTACTAATAAAGTAATAAAAATCTTATGAAATCTTATTATAATAACTGTTTTGTAGGAAACCGCTCAACTTAGCGAAGATTACAGACACTTGGAATTTTCTACTGCAGTGAATGAAATAAATGAAAAAATTGATATGTTTTCCTCTGTATATAAGCCAATATGTCCGAGATCAGAATCATCTTATAGTTACATCAAATTTAATAATGCTGGTAATTGTTTTGTTTTTTAAAATAATATAATGTAAGTTTTATAAAATTAATCTGGAGTCTTAAGGTAAAAATTATTTAATTTATTTTAATTTTTAAACCATTTGTTTTATCAGCTGTTTTACTTAATATTTGAGAAGCATTTGTAGTTTTATTAACGTATATTTGTTGGATCCTTACAGTGATTTTTATTAAATTTAGCTACAATAATAATGAGCTGAAATTTTTCGAAGTTCTTGTAAAAAGCATTCAAGTCATTTTCATGTTATATTTTTGACTTCTGGGTCTGATAGAGTGTAAATTATATTGATTAAATCATTAATTTCCTTTATCTATAATTAAAGAAGCTAATTTAGGTTTGTTAATATATTGTGTTACGTTGAAATTGACATTGCACATAGTCACTTAGTGAGCTTATTTTTAGATTTACTAAAACACTAAAAATAGATGCTTTTCATAGATTTGTCTTCTTAGAAAATCATATTTTCTTGACTTATCATAATCTGTGATTTTCTGTTTGTTTTTTTACCCCTTAATTTTTGCAATTAGATGTTTTCTTTATATTTGAATTTAAATAAGTTAATATAATTCAGACATTATTGTTATAATAATGAGTTATAATAAGTTAATATTATTGGCAGTAACGATCGCTTTTATTCCTTCAAATTTTCCACAAATTGTAACTATTTGAAATGTAAATATTATCCATAATCATATTTCAATGATGTTTATAAACAATTTCTCTGTTAGATTTTACTATTCTTACATTATTTTATATTAGAAAATATTATATTAGAAAATATTAAAACTCTGAAATACTAATAGCTAGCAAAAAAAAAAGTTGTGGTTATTTTTCCACATTATTTACAAAAAGCAGTTGGTAAAATATAATGAGCTTTCAAATGAATCTTTGTGTAAACATTTTCAAATGTTAATTGATAGTTTTCTAGTTATTCATCAAAATTTTACATTTTTTTTTTAACTTTGCTTAACTTGAATATATTATATCATCGGGGCCATGTTAAAGTAACATATGTGTGCCTGTTGAATGTTGCACATTTGTTACTTTTTCATGGTGCCGATGATGTGATCCATTCACTTACAAATTCCGTTCTGTTCTTGTAATTATGTCATATTAATTGTAAATTATTCATTACATATTATTAATCTTTTTATTCTTTTGTAGGTGAGAACATCAATGTTCGCAGGTTGGATGGACCATACCAGACAAAAGTATTAGGCTTTGTATCTTGTTTCCGTCCAATAAGAAAAACACTGTATTTTTCTAGAGTGAGTATTACATTAGTGCAAATATTATTATTTGAATATTGTAGGAGTCTGTAGTTTATTATAATGTTGGATGTATTACAAACAACTCGAATAACTTAAATATGTAGGTTATATATATTTTATTTGTTTTTAAAGCATGGAGAAAGCGAGTATAACCTCTTGGGCCGAATCGGAGGCGATACATCATTATCAGCACGTGGGAAGCATTATGCATCATTATTAGCTAATTACTTTAACAGTGCAAAAGTTGATTATCTCAGAGTCTGGACCAGTGAGAAAAAGAGGACGAAGCAAACAGCAGAAGGAATTCAAGCTCCAATTGAGAACCTAATTCCTCTTAATGAGTTGGATGCTGTAAGTATGAAGTATATTAACTTGTATTTATTAAATGTTAGCAATTTATCCATTGTTGTGGTATTTTTAAGATAGAAATGTTGGTTGGATAAAGTTCTTTTTTTTTTTTTTTTTTGTTTGTTTAATTAATTCTTTCTTAAGTCATAAAAAAAGAAAAAATGCATTAAATGCTGTTGTAAATCAGTTCCTTCTGGACCAGACACATATCCAAAAAAAATTCAGTTCATTGATGCTAATCACATAATTTCTGTCTTAGAGCTCAATATATAAAGTTTTTTTTTTTTAAATAGACCAATATCTCTAACTTATGAATTTATAAGACTTGTACTATTTAGCAAAAATTTAAGTTACTAAATCTGTATCACTTTATACGTCTTTTTAAATACTTATTTTTTCTCTTGCAAAATTTACCAAAAAGGATTTAGAAGGATCTCATTGCCTACAGTTTATGTGTACTTTAAAATTAAAATTAAATGACGCTCGGTGTGAAAGAAAGTAATTTATTGAAAGTACCTAATGATATTTTGACAGCTTCTACATTTTCACCATGAATACTTTTAAAACAATTTTTTTTTCTTATATCTATTACTATTTTATATTGGAATTATTGTAGCTGCCATAATTAAAATTGGAATATTATGCCTGCTTAAGATATTTCTAATTTTTTTGTTTATATGTCTTCAGGGAATTTGTGAAGGCATGAGTTATGAAGAAATGCAAGATAAATTTCCACAAGAATTCGCTTGGAGGGACCAGGATAAGTTAAGGTATAGATACCCCTGGGGTGAATCGTATCTTGACATTATGTCTCGACTGGAGCCAGTATTGCTGGAATTGGAAAGAGAAGATTCTGTACTTGTTATCAGTCACCAGGCTGTGCTTAGATGTATTATTGGATACTTCTTAAATTCAGACCCAGGTAATTATTTAATTTACTATTTTATAGGCAGTATATCGACTATTTATTTTAATATAGTCAATAACAAAAATTTTGAGAAAATACAGTGTTTTCATTAGTAAGAACAAAAAATTAAACATCCTTAATGCCTTCTCTTAATTTTAACACATTTCGGCTCCCAAAATGTTCATCATAATAAATTATATTGCTTCAAAAAATGTCTGTATGATTTTAGAATTTATTTGAAGCACCATTTTTTTTTCGTTACTTTGTTCACTCATAAACAATTTTTTCATTTTCAATTTCATTATATCCTGTTGCGTTTAGGGTTTTACTCATATTTTGGTGATGAACTTTTTCCCGTTTATCTTACTTAATACTTAATCCTTCTTCTATTTTTTTTTTTTTTTTTATATATATATATATAACTAACAACATCTGTTCAGAAAATTTTGTTTCAATCAACTATTTCCTTTTACTGATGCCCAGTTTTTTATTAGATAGAAATCCGTTTTAAATTTGTTGATAGGTATTTTAAAACGACAAGTGATTTCCAAAAGTTAAAACTTTCCTTAAATTAAATTTTAACTATATAACTGCAAAAAATTAAATTTTTGCTAATGATATAATTGTATTTTCAGATATTTTTTTTTTTTAATCTAAAGCTTAGGAAAAACTCAGAATTCATAATTCTGGGATATTTTTTTTAAGTAGATAACTGTGGCCCATATTATTATGAATTTTAAAAGTTTAAAATTTAGATTTATATAAACATCTATAAGTTTTTCTAAGAATTTGTGTGATCATGATCTTTGTTGTCATTATGTTTTCATCTTTTTTAAAATTAAATTTTGTAAAATAAAAGTTGTGAAATTTTTTTTGTTGGTATTCATGGAATGAAAAAAATTTGAATTTTTTTTTCACTAATAATTTGATACTTCTTAAAGAACAAAAATTACTTTCATTTTTTAAAGAAAACTTATACTGTTGTTTGAATTATTTTATAACTCCGTTCCTGGTTTTTGAAAATTAAATGGTTATAAAATCTATGAAATGAAACTTAAAATACAAATTTATATTTACTGCTTTCTAGGAAAGAATAATATTCTATTTCAACCTCAAGTTTTAAATATTACATACGAGGGTGGTCTGTAAAAGTTTCCGACCTAACAAAAATACAAGACATTTTTTCTGAATTTCTTTTTTATTTTTCTACATAGTCTGTACATGTGGCCGGTTTTCCGCATTTTCTGGCTTCAGCTTGTCAAGTAATGATGCGTAGGGTGCTCCTGTAATGGTTTTTCCTTTTTGAAGATGGTCGATTAAAATAACTCTATAACTATCCCTAAAAACAGTCGTCGCCATCACTTTACCAGCCGAGAAAACAGTTTTTGCTTTTTTTGGAGCTGGTTTCTCCTTTGCAGTCCACTGTTTGGACTGTATTTTTGTTTCGGGCATATTAAGGTGTATCCAAGTTTCATCTACAGTAATTAATCGGCGTCAAAACTCAAATTTATTGTGCCAACAGAGCATTGGTAATGTTCATTCAAACACATTTTTGGCACATTTCAAACACGGCACCCAATGTGAGGACAGCTTTCTCATATCTAAATGTTGATTTAATATGTAACAAACACGTTCTTTTGACATTTTCATAACCTCTGCTATCTCTCTCACATTAATTCGGTGGTTGTCTAGCACCATTTGGTGAACTTTGGCGATGTTTTATGTCAGTAGTTGCAGTTTTTGGACGTACCGAACATTCATCGTCTCACAAGCTGCCCAAAATTTCCTGTGGTAAATGATGGTGCAGAGTCCCCATACACAGAATCCAACTCATCTTTGATTTGCTTCGACGTATTGCCTTTCAAAAACAAATATTTAATGACAGCTTTATACTTTATTTTGTCTATTTTCTTAAAAACTGTGCATCCAAAATGGCTGAAACTTGGTTGGTAACTGTCAACAGATGAACAACAAAATTCACTTGCTTTTATTTACAAGTGTTGCCATCTTCACGTTGCAGTCTGAAACTTTTCAGACCACCCTCGTATTATACCTTCCTTAGAGGTGAAGTAATGTATGAATCTAAAAAAAATGAAAATTAAATGAGCTCTATAACTAGATGTATAGTTAGGTTTCTCCTTAGTTATCTTTTTTCTCAGCATTGTTAAATTTCTTTTTTTAGAAAAGCTGCCTTATTTAAACGTACCTCTGCATACTGTAATCAAGCTGACAACCAAAGGATATGATTTTGAGGTGGAGTACATCAAATTTAATGTTGATTGTGTCAACACTTATAGGAAACAACCTGAGGTATGTACAAAATCTGTTCATGAAAACATCTAATAAGTAAAATACTGGAAAAGTACAAATTCATTTACATGTTTCTTTCTTTGGCAGAACTGTTCAGCAGATCGCAGTATGGAAGATATTCAACTAACTATACCCGCACATTTTGATTCGACGGATGTTCGGATAGGGGATTCATTTGTCACTGCTTAGTAATATAAGCCTACAAAAGATGAAGTTAACTGTTGGAATAACAGTTAAAGTTGTTGTTGCCTACAGCAAACTTTTATCTGTTGTAAATGTAAATGTTTTAGTAATGTGCATTTAACAAATGTTTTTGAAGGGTAATTTCTACTTAGCCCTAACAGTTAAAGTGAATTTCTAATGTGCCCCCTAATTCACTTAGTGATTAATGGAAAGTTGAAAGTGGCACCTCAGTTAAGAAAAGTCTGTGAACTGTTGAGGTTATATATTGAAAACCACAGTATACTTGGTTATGTGCAGTATACATAAGATGAGACTGTTTAAATCATATAATTTTTTACATCATGTTTTCAGTATTTATTGTAAAGACTTTTAGATTATATATTATTGTTAAACACATGTATATTTTATTAAAGATAGATTTTGTTATTTTATCAACTTGTTTTGTTATTTTCCATTTTTATTCTGTAAATTTCAGAGTGTTGTATTTGAAACGATCGTCGAATTTCTCAAAATATGTTCAAATTGTTTTTGGTATGATAGAAATTATCATGAGTGTGAGTAAAATTTTATAAAAAAATTATTATTACTTTTTTTAATAAGATGGGTACTTCACTAGCAGGCACTGATTGCTATCAGAAAATGTTTATAACCTGAACACTGATAATTCCGATAAGGCAGTGATAAGCCTTCTAATAATTTCTATCTTCGTATTATTGAAAGTGTATACAGAAACAAAAACAAATGTAATAACAAAAAAAATACTTTTATTTTACGACACGTATATTAATGAAATAATAAAAAAAATACTTAAAGAAGATATGTATGTATAAAAGATCAAAATGAAATAATAAAAAAACACTTAAAGAACATATGTACATATAAAAGAAAAAATATCAACACTATAAACGACATATGTACAATTTATTTTCACTTTGTCTTATTTATTTTGGTAGGCAAAATAGTTTTCTGCTATTTAAAATAGCAAGGAACGGGTCCTCTTCTTTTTAATCCCGCCACCACAAAAATTTGCATAAATATGAATTGAGGTGTTGTCTGGCAGTTCCTCTATGTATTTTATTTCTCCACTTAGTTGAGCCCCATAATCGTTCTATGTCTTGAGTATGAACCCCAGTTGATGGATGTTCAAAATTATACCTGTGATTCACTTGGAAATGGTCATCCTTTCCAACAGTCCGAATAAATGGCCCTTCCCTCTTCTATATTGTCTTTAATTGCTTGTAATAAGGTTGTTGCCTTTCAGTCATTTATTTTGACGATGAATGACAATAAATAAAATGAAAAATAAACACAAACGGGCCAAAAATAAATAATTTAATAAGTGAACGTAATAAGGGAATAACTGAAAAATAAACAATGTAATAACTGAAAGGTTTGGTGGGATAAGAAGAGGGAGGTTATGTGAAGTGGCGTTAGATAAGATAATTGTACATACATAGATAAAAAGTGAGGTTTCAACCCGGCCTGCTAGTGAAGTAGTACCAGAAGATGATCTGGGAGTCAATCTGTTAAAGTTTAACATTTGAGAATAAATTGCACATTTATTAAAGAATAAAGAAGATGGCCAAGATACCTCCTGAATTAAGACCTTGACTGCAGAAGGGACACCTGCCTTTCCGTTAGGAGTTGGGTACCCTTGTAGACGGGATACCTGCCTTCCTGGCTGGCGGACAGGTCTCGAGAGGCTGGGATACTTGCCTTCCCACCTCAGCTATTGCTACTTGTAGCGATAAGGAAAAATCCTGCTTCCACCATTCAGCTTGTGGCTTGGTCCGTGCATTCATTAGTCCTCCGGAGCTCACTCAGGTTGTTTCTGACTATTTGTTGGAAGCTATCAATTGCAGATTTATTCTGAACCCAAAATTAAATAAAAAGGTTTTAAATGCATTTCTGAAAACTAATATCTTTCGATGTGACTCAAAATACTATTTAAAACAAATTTAAGGGGAGGGGGGAACTCTGTTTCAGGACTCACCATCAGAAAGAAACAAGTGTTATGAGATCTCGCAAGCAAAGGGTTAATATAACCATTAAAGTGTTACCAGTGGGAAGTTTCTTCATAAGCTACTATCATGTTCTATATTCTTAGAGCAGATATGCTTATTGAAATGTATTTCTATGGTTGTATATTTCATTTTATTTTAAATTGTTGGAGAAATTAATGATTTTGATTTTTCCATATTTTCACAACTAATTATGATTTATTTAAATGCTTGTTATATTGACATAATGAGAGTCATTAAATTCCTAGAGAATGGTCCCCCTACCCATATTGCACTTGCAATTATAGTGAAATTATGTAGCGAATAATGACTGGAAAAAGTGAGTATTGTTTCCATACTAATAGGTCCATTATGGGTAAATTGATAAACATATTGAAAAATCCTAAATTTAAAAATGAAGAGCATTATTTTTGGATTTAATTTATACAAAACATAGGCAAAGTTAATAAAAAAACTGTAAAAAATCTCATAAACTAACTCTGATATGATGAACGTACTATAAAAGTCAAATCCCTTGCAATAAAGTGTGTTAAAATAAAGGATAATACTTGTATGTTCCTTATTATACGAAATTAATATATTTTTACACTTTAATTTCACAAAATTGATTAACCATTAATTGAATCTTAATGTCTAATTTTGTGTATTTATATTTACACATTTATATATTTTATACACATATAATTTTATCCTATTCATCCTAATATACCTAACCATCAACAACAAATTCATCATATTCCTCCTTCAAATGCAACAGATCTCACCAGTTTGTTAGCATATTTCCTCACCGATTTCAAGTCCCATGTCACTCCACTCATATCACTCCTCACAAATCTCTTATCTCACCTCATCCCTCCTTTAAAAAATCCTTAAATGATTCACATTCTAAAACTCATGTCCATTCTCCTTTGAAATGTGAATGGTATTAGAAATCATACAGACGAACTAACTGCTTTAATACTTGCCAAGAACATTGATGTGGCACTAATTACTGAAACTTGACTAACCACTAAACAACTCTTCAAAATATGGTAATACTTGACATATCATACAGACTATCCTGAGGGTAGAGCACATGCTGTCATTGTACACCAATCCCTGTCCCATCACCTACTCTCATTACCTACTCAAGATTTCCTACAATCCACCGCCATTATAATCAAAACCTTCTCATTTCCTGTCAATCTAGTATCAGCATATTGCCCTCCTAACAGATCCATACTCAATGACCAGTTCAGTTCTCTCCTTAACTTCTTAGAACATCACTTCATCCTTGGTGCAGACTTAAATGCCAAGCATCAAGAATAGGATTCGAGAACCACAAATTCTCCTGGTAGATCCTCGCTGTCTGCACTCAATTCCCGAAGTTTCAGCCTCCTTCCTCCCAACTGACCTACCTACTGGCCAACTGATCTTAACCGCAATCCTGATATCCTCGTTTTTTTTATTCACAATGGTTTAGGTCCCCGCATTCATTCTTTTACTTGATGAACTTCCTCAGATCATAGTCCATTACTACGCCAATTATCGCTAGCTCTTATTTCTAAACCCTCTCCACCATCCTTCATCAAAAGCCCAGTTAACTGTAAACTCTTTATCAGATCCTTTCTGATAAAAGTGACCTCAGAATAACCTTGAAAACTCCAGAAGACTTTGACAATGCAGTACATTCCTTCACCACCAGTATGGACAGCTTTCTCACCAAATTATTTCTCACGAATCCCTAAGAAAAGTAGTTTACCCCAACAACTCATATGTCTAATTCTCACCAAACGCTGTGTCAGATTATTATGTCAACTTACCAAACATACCATCGATCACTGCTCCTACAATTATTATTGTAAACTATTAAAGCAGAAATTATCATCCTTCAGATCCCAATCATTTGATTCCTACCTTACTTCTCTATCTGTTCATGACATTTTCCTCTGGAAAATCATCTAAAATCCCATTACATTTCCCACTTCCTTCGTCGATGCGATGTCTCCTGGGCAGCGTCTGATGAAGACGGAGCTGAGGAATGAAGACGGAGGGCACCTCTCCAGTACATTCACTCCTCATTCAGAATCCCATCCAATCCATACCACAAAAGAAGAAGAATTCCGATCTTCACCGATTCCACTCTCCTTACCACCTAAGGCAGTTAATCCATCTCAGGTTAAATACCTTTTACGCAATATCACTCTTCGTAAATCTCCTGGATAAGACCTCCTAACCCCATAGATCCTTCAACAACTTCCACCCAAAGCTATCATATTCCTTACATATATTTATAATTGCATCTTAAGAACTATCCACTTTCCTCTCCTATGGAAACATTCCACCATCATCCTTTTCCTGAAACCAGGCAAACCTGCCAACAATACATCATCTCATAGACCAATTAGCCTACTCCAATCCTATAAAAAAATTTTGAAAAGAATCCTACCCACAATAGTATCCTATGAAATTCCCTACCCATCAATTCAGATTTCTTCCCAACGTTCCACTGTACAACAAGGACTCTTTTGACCATATATCCTCAGCCCTAGAAAGGAAACAATATTGTTCAGGTGCATTTCTGGACATACCACTGGCTTTTGACCGGGTATGGCACGCTGGATTGCTCTTCAAGATTAAATTCCATCTACCACAATCCTTATATCTAATACAAATAGCTTATATCTAATACAATATTAATGTAAATAGCCAACATAGTACGAGATAAGGAGGAACCCTGAGGGACACCACAGGAGAGGGGAAGTGAAGGAGGTTGATCTGGGACGACTACATATTGGGATCGATCAGAAAAGAAAGATTTGAACCAACACTGGACACTGTTCGATAGAGGATGATTTTGCAATTTGGTAAGAAGGATTTTAGGGTCAACTGTATCAAACGCTTTGGAAAAACCTAGAAGGATGAGGATAGTTAGGTTTTGGTGTTCAATGGAGTTTTGGAGGTCATGTGTTATTTTAAGGAGGGCAGATTGCGTTGAATAACCCCGTCGAAAGCCAGATTGGAATGGATTGATGAGGGAACGTTCTTCTAGGAAGTTGGAAAGTTGGTTTTGGATAAGGCGTTCCAGTGGTTTTGAGAGGTTGGAAAGAAGAGAAATAGGACAAAAGTCGTTCGGTGAGGAAGGGTTTGAAGTTTTATTCAAAGGTCGGACTAATGCAGTTTTCCAGGAAGAGGGGAATATGGAGTTTTGCAATGAAAGTTGTAGATATGATAAAGTACTGGAATAAGGGTAGGAAGGCTGGATTTTATAAGTTTTACTGTAATATTTCAGGACCATAATCATTGGTGTGGGATTTTGGAAAGTACTTCGTCGTAGGAAACATGGAAAAAAAAGAAGTTTTCAGGATTGAAATTCTGGTGTTCAATATCATAAGTAGAAGAAGGATTAGAAGCAAATGATAAGAAATGGTCATTAAGATCATTTGGAATAACAGAGAGGGAAATGAGGTTATCAAAATCTGGTAGGGATAGATTACGAAGTATTTTCAATTTTGATTTGGAATCGGGAGCATTGGAAAGGGCATTATGGAAGTAGTTGGATTTAGAAAGTCGGATTGTGGACTGGATTGCATTGCGAAGTTGTTTGAAAGACGCATAATCAGCAGGTAAACGGGTTCGACGGTATCTGTCTCTTGCTGCATTCCTTCTTTTTATCATTTCCTTTATTTCAGAAGTCAGCCAAGGTGCAGTGGGACGACGTAAGGTTCTGGTTTTCAGAGGAGCATGGGTGTCTAATAAGGATCGTAGCTTTGAAGTTAGGATGGTTACCATTGGATCGATGAAATTATAGGAAGATATGATGTCCCATTGGAAAGAATCAATGTCCGATTGAAGGGATTCATCTGATTCATTGAAGGGATTCATTCGTAATTCAGGTTTAAATTACGGTATGAGATCATTTTGGGAGTAAAGGATTTCACGGGTAGGTCGTATGTAATTTGGATTAGGTCATGTGATGAGAAAAAAGGAATGGGGTTTTGAGAAGAGGAAAGGATTTTGATGGAAGAATCACAGATGTAGAGGTCTAACCACATGTCGGAAAATTGCGTGTGATAAGTGGGAGAATAAGGAATCAGATAGAGATTAAGGGAAAATATCAAGTCAGTAAGGAAGAGTTTTTCTGGAGATTCTGTGAGCATATTTACATTAAAATCACCGGAGATGATGACATTGGAATAGGAAGAAACCAGGTTGACAAGGGAGGATTCAAAGGGATGGTCGAATGGAACACGAGGAGGATGGTAGACAACAACATATGGTAAGGGTGAGGAAATAGAAGTAATTTCAACAAATAAATATTCAATGTGAGGGAGTTCATGAAAAGGAGTCTGTAATAGAATTTTGGCCTTGAGACTATCATGAACATATAGTCTGACACCGCCCACATGCGATCAGATCTGTTGTGACGTAGGAAAGAGTAGTTGGGGAGGGAAATTTGGGAAGAAGGAATAAAAGGTTTCAGCCAGGTCTCCTTCAATATAAATCCTCAGTCCACTCCCACAATACCCGTTCCTGGTTTTCAGATATATATATATATATATATATATATATATATGTATATATATATATATATATATATATATATATATATATATATATATATATATAATATATATATATATATATATATATATATATATATATATATATAAGCCCACCGAACCGCTGCTTTTGATAAATCTTTTATTATTGGATCCTCAACCCTATGAAACTCCATCCCTCCCCACATCCGTCAATCCAAAACTCTTCCTACACTTAAATCATTTCTTATCCATCCAGCCCTCATAAAATTGTAAATAGCTACTACTGTAAATATGTATATAAATTATTAGATCGTTTTTCATTATTTTTACTTCATTTTTATTTTTTATTATAAACTGATTTAAATTAGAAAGTAACTTATTATATCTTTTATTAATTTGACTATTTAATCAAACTATATTCTTGTTTATGTATCTCTGAGGCTCCTTAGCTCACATTTTTGTGTCTCTGTATTATTCTAAAGGGACTCGTCCCAGAATAAATAAAGCATTATTATTATTATTATTAAATCCTGTCCACCAGGTTATTTTAACACCATCCAGCTTCCTTTCTCAGATATAGTCTGGTATCTTGGCTTTCTCTTAGACAAATGACTAAAGTGGAACCCTCATGATAGATTTAAAAGTCAGTAACTTAACTGACGATACGACCAACTATACAGACTACTAAACAGAAAATCTAAAATTTCTATTGAAAACAAGTCACTGATCTACAAACAATACTGAAACCTATTTGGAGTTACAGACTAGAACTGTGGGAACAACAAAATTTTCTAACATCAAACACATCCAATCCTTCCAGTCAAAAGTCCTTTGAATTATAGTCAATGCTCCTTTCTATGTAACCAACAAAACTCTACATCATGACCTCAAAATCCCATTTGTCCTAGACCTTATTCCAGAAAAATTCTCCAAATTTCACCAGGATCTTAGGTATCATCCAAATCCTCTTGCACAATCTCTATCAAGTACCATCCATCCCTATAATCCTCCAAGAGGGTTGAAACGGCAGTGGCCTCGCGACCTTTTATAGATTGTATATATTGGAGTTCTGGCAATGGTACATTCTCCACTCAAGACATGAGTGTATGTGGCTAAAGTGCTCTCGATCAATCTCCACTGGCTTTAGTACCAGTGATGCGATTGAGAGAGTAGCGCAGAGTTCATCCGGAGTCCATCTTTTCAAGACAAGCCTGCCTAAGAGTTCTCTCGCCTCTAGCTAAACCTAAATAGAGTATATAGGTTTGCATGTGTTTTGATTTTCTTATTTGTAAGTTATTTTATTTTATTTATTGTATATACCTTTTGATTATTATTCTACTTCTATTTATTTATTTTTTTTTTTTTTGTACATATAGTGTGAATGTTATCCTACCTCACTATAACTAATGTCGAAGTGACAGATTGTTGTAATACTCAATAAATAGTTAAATAACAAAATTTTTATATTTATATGTACATTTGATATTATTTACAATTGATTGTACAAAGTATTATTTTTATAAATAAAAGAATAAATGAGTTTCTGTTTCATTGGATTAAAAATAATGGATCATTTCTAGTTAAGGGAGTTTTAAATAAAATAATTATGTTTACCTATATTAGTATAAAGTTAGAAAACATAATAACAGGCAAATTATTTTTTTTAAAAACATGCTTTTAATTTATCATAATTTTGTAGTGGTTGGAAAATCAATAAAGGAATTTTAATTCATTAATGATTTTTCATTTATTGGGTCTTCTTGAATTGGTATTTATTGAATACTTGAATAATTTTTGGAAAAAATAGAAAATTTAACCTTATAATTCAAAAATATTTAATAATTCTTCAAATCTAAATATAGTTTAATCAGACATATAACCTAAGGATACTCTGAGGATAAACAGTTTGCTTTGTCCAGTTACAAGGCCATTTAGATTTATTTACTGAGTTAAAAATATAAGACCTCATAGCAATATTTTTTCTGCATTGTAGTGCCACTTTTTATTTGGAATTAGCTTTTGAGAAATCTAAATATATTACATATTCATTTCAATATAAATCTATTTCTGTTATGTTTAATTCTGGTTTAATTCAGAGCATCGCCTTAATTTTCAAGAAACTAATCAATTTAATTAATCTCCTTATGTTTATTTGCTTTTTTATGATTCAGAAGCGTTACAATGGATAATTATTACTTACAATTCCATTTGAATAGGAATTTTTAATCCTTTTTTCTTAACTGAACACCTTTTTATTTGAATTTTATTTTTACATTTAATTTTTAAATAATGTTCTTAGGTAACCATCATTTACCCACCACTTTAATTTTTAAGCAACTATTCTATTTAATTGGTCTCCTCAAGTTTATTCGCTTTTTTATGATTTATAAGCACTGAAGGATTGTTTGCAATAGATAATTATTGCTTCTAATTCCATTGGAATAAAAATTAATTATTAATTAATTAATTAACCTCATTTTTATTTAACATTTACTTTTTAATTAATTTTCTTGGATGACCATCATTTCAAAAAAAATTTTAAACTAAACAATTTCTACAAAAATAACAGATTTTTATATAGTTATGTTTTTTTCATCAATCAATTATTTAGTACAGCCATAATTTAATAAACATTAAATACGGGTACTGATTTATAAATATTTAACAAATTGCATTTTTTTAAATTCTCATTTTCTAATTTATTTGTGAATCATATCACAAGAGAAAATAAATTGGAACGTAAATTAAAGAATTTGTTTTTTAAAAGTATATGCTGGTTGATGAAAACAATTTTAATAGTTTTCAATAGAAATATATTTGAGCATGCAACATTTCAGCTCTAAATATCATTTAATGTGCTAATTTTCAGCCCAATTTAGCATTTAACTGACTAGCTATACATTCAGTGGTTTATTTTATAATAAATATATATCACAAAAAATAGATTTTTTTTTTAAAGAGGTTTATTTAATAACAAAGAAATATTGCAGAACGTAGATTTTTTGGTTCAATTTTTTTTTTTTTTTTATAATATTCAAGTGTTTTACTTCATAATAAAAACAGATAGTGCAAAAAATAGACATTATTAGACCACAATTTTTAGTTCAATAGGCATAAGCTATTTTTCAAACTCTTAATTCTTAATAATAATTGATTTCATTAAATAAATTAGTACAATAATGTATTAAGAATAGTACATATTAATGCGTGACATGTTAGATAAAAACTTTCCATCTTGATTTTTTTAAATCATTAAGTTCTAATAATATTTTATTTTCTAATTATCTCTCTCTCTCTCTCTCTCTCTCTCTCTCTATATATATATATATATATATATATATATATATATATATATATATATATATATATATATATATATATATATATATATATACACTATTTTATTTTTTCTTCTCCTAATCTTTACGCGTAATCACTTAAATATCTTAAGGAACATATGTATATCATCTTTTATTTTTTTTTACAATTTATTTCTTTACATATTAACAGTTATTATTATTTATTTTTTTAAATTTTTATATTCCATCACTACAATGCTTTGCCTATAAAATTGATTTTGCGTTCCTTTCTAATTTCATTCAGTGATAATTATGCTATTTTTTTAGATCCAATATTGTAGTACTGAACCCCTACTACCCAACTATTCTCGTTAATTTATCCTAACAGCTATTATACTTAATTTATTACTAGTATTTTGTTATTATTCATTGTAATAGATCTCTTGGCCAGATTTATGGATAATTTATATGAACAATACTGTTATTCTAAAAGGGACGTAGTCCCAGAATAAAGATGATTTTTCTAAAAAAAAATAAAATAAAAATAAAATTTTGAAGATATTCAACTTTTTTCTACAAACTATTTTTTTAAAGTACATATATTCATATTTAAAAAATATATATAAATTTAATAATTTGAAGAGCATATTTAGAACACCATTAATAAGTTTTGTATTTATTCTAAAATTTTTAAAAATAGATTTTGATAAAATGTTTTCCTCAATTATTTTTCAATGAAAAGTGTAATGATTACCCAGAAGTGTTCTGTATCATACGTCATAGGCTTCTCAATTCAGTATGCTCTCGGCGCCGGGAGTAGTCAGATGTTCTCTCTCCCTCTCTCTCTCTCGTATACCTAAAATAGTGCATCGCTTTTTCCCTTTTTTTTTTTTTTTTAATCATCAGTTCGGATGTGATATCTAGTTAGCGAGATGGCTGATGACCAGAAAAGAATTTTTAAGCAAAAGAGGCTTAACACTCGACTTTTGGAAGCTGTTTACACAAAGGATCTTGAAAAAGTCAAAACGTAAGTGAATTCGCAAACTTATAAAATCATTTTATTCTGTCATATCGTGATATAAAAAATTTAAAAGATATAGTTCATGTCTCATTTTCAAATTAAATCTATAGGTGTTTGAAAGTGTTGTTTTTTTAATTTGAAAGATTGCAGATGCACGATAAAAATTATTTTGTAAGGAAAAGGTCGATCAAAAAATAAGTAATTTCATTAGACCAATCAAAAATTATATATACATGAACTTATATATATGAATCAGATTATTCCTAAAAGGAAATAGACAAATGATAAAAAATAGGAATTCAACTATGTAATTGGCTATTTTCGTATATAAACAGCTACCAACATATAAAAATGGGTAAACTGCTACTTACAAAATGTGGAAAGTGAAATCCACATTCTAAAAAATGCTGTCAAATAAGTTAACAATTTAGATGTATATTCAATGAATTGTTGAAATCCCTTTTTTACTGAGCACTAGTAATTTTATATATACACTAGCGGATACAGGATTTGATTTCGAGGGAGGCTTCTGCCCGAAAGTTTTTTCATATATTTAACGATAATTAATTTGAAAAAATTAACTACCTATAATGAAATGTTGTTTAAGTGATTCTTGAAGACCTATTAAATGTAATTACACTAACAATAATACTTTAAGAGATAGTTTTTAATATTTTTTTCTATAAAACATGGTTATATTTTACCATTTTGGGGACTTCAGCCCGAATGCCCCCCTCCCTCCCGTAGAGCCTATATATATATATATATATATATATATATATATATTATATATATATATATATATATATATATATATATATATATATATATATATATATATATATATACATATATATCTATATATATATATATATATATATATATATATATATATATATATATATAATTTTAACTTGAAAGTATTATTTGTCTTATCACAATACGATTCAAATATGCATATATGCTTCGGTATGATATTGGGAGTTGAAAACACCAGTTGAGTGTTATTTATTTTAAGAATGAAACATATTGTAAATGCATGCAAAAAAAAAAAAAAAATAGAATAAAACGAGTGGCGGGAAAACCCAGCCCACCGCGTGACATGTTTGCAAATATGTTGGCGATAAGGAGTAACGGGGTAAGAATAGAATTGTAATAAATATTCGGTTCGTAACTTTTTCCTTGTTCATCGACTATTTCCTAATTCGATTGACTTGTTAAAATAACCGATTAATTGGTTAATTTGTTCGACTTATAAATAAATTATTTTCGGGAGAAATATTAATTTATATACTGCTTTTAGAAATAGAGAGGTACCATGAAGTATTTAAAGGAGGGATTTTCGGGCTGAAGCTCCCCTCCCCCCAAAATGGTAAAATATAACCATGTTTTATGGAAAAAAATATTAAAAAATTATCTCTTAAAGTATTATTGTTGATGTAATCACATTTAAAAGGACTTTAGGAATCACTTAAACACCATTTCAGATAGATAGTTAGTTTATTTATTTTTTTCCAAAGTAATTATCGTTATTTTTATGAAAAAAAAAAAAGCTTTCGGGCTGAAGTTCAGGAGCTGAGTTTTCATAAAATCAAGGAGTCTTCGCTATTTAATTTGTAAGCCCCAACTGGACAGAAGATAATACACTTTCAGAAAAACTTCCTTGTTTGATGAGCTTTAAGTCTACATTGATTATATTGTGGTTTGTTACAGAGTAAGTTGATATTCATCCCTAAAATATTTTGGTAGATTCCTAATTTTACCGTACTAATAATATTTTTGCTCAATTACAGAAAATGTAAACTCGACTTAATTAAAATCGACTTAAAGCTCATCGAACAAGGAAGTTTTTTTCCGAAAGTGTGTTATCTTTAATCGAGTTGAAGATGTTACTAAATAAATCGCGAAGAACCCTCGATTTTATGAAAACCCGAACTTACCGTAGTTTAACTGCTTAAAAGTCCACTTTTATATGGTTTTAAAAAAATACATGACTTACCTGCATTTAATTTAAACTTAATCTAGTTTAAAGGAAGGAGATGGTCCGGGGTGGCGGTCATAAATAGGCTAAATAGTGGTAAAACTATTTTATTAAAAGCCAACGTTTCGACCCGACTGTGCAGGTCTTCTTCAGGGAGGTGTGTTCAGCAAGGAGTTTGACTTAAAACTCAGAAATCAGTTTCTACAATGCAACGGTCAACTACCAAATATTCAATTAATCTAGTTTAGATTGAAATAATTGGTTGTAGCATAATTAAAACATTTTTTGTTATTGCTTTTTATTCAACATAAAACGTTGTTGACTTAAAAATCTATAAAAATAAGTTTCCTGGTTCTCTTTAAGTAATTAGACCATGGTTTATGGTAATTTTTCATAAGTTTTTTTAATGTCTTCTATCAAATATTATCAATTATATTAAATTAATGTAAATCTAAACTTCTTATCAATATAACGAAATTCCCCATTGATCGATATCGAATATAATTCTGTTGTGAATGACTTTTAAGAATCATTAAAAAGAAAAAAAATTCGAATAATAATTTGAACGATCGAAAATGTTTTTAAAAAAACTAATTAAACTTCAAAAATGTATCGTCTAATATGAATAACGTCAATTTCGAGCTATGGAGCAATTTTCGCTATAAGTAAAAATAGAATAAATATAACCGCATGAATTTTTCCGTAGCCATTGGTTTTATCAAAAGAATGTATAGGAACATTTTTATAGAAATTTTAAAGTGCTTTAATATTGTACTGAACAATGTTTGTCAAAAAACCTCATAGTTGTTGAGATATTCTCCAAAAAATAAAAATAAAAAAAAATAAAAAATAAAAAAAAATGAAAAAATAAAAAAAATTCCAGTTATTATGGGGAAGCTAATGAAAAATTGCTGACAAGTTACATTTTTATTTTTTTGAATCATGGGATAAGGCTGTTTTTTCTACTAACTTTACTGGACTATATGGGGAACGATTCACCATTATCCACGCGTACATATTTAAGGACGATGTTCTACTCTCCAGTTATTCCGAGAGTTGGTGAGAAAAAATCGATATTATTTGATGAAAACTTAAAAATCATTTTTTTAAATATTTATAACATTCATATTAAAAAAATTAGAGTCTGTCCCCTCTAAAAATGGCAGCTGGCTTAAAGAATATTAGACCGGTAACTTGAGGACCGAAACGGGAAAATCATTGCAAAAAATGTGGGGAAAACGTTTGTGTTTTTAACTTGTATATATTCGTTTGTAACATGTAAACAACATAATTGCTAACGCGTGCCAACAGCCAAAAATGCCTGATTTTTTCGATCATATTTGGTTTTGCACCCTTAACTCCGAAGCGAAAAACGTACTCTTTAAGAAATTAAGAAACATTAAATTTTGCGTCGAAAGAGTACCTAAACTTAATAATTTGGTTAAGTGGTATGGTCGATAACCACAGCCAACCACCGGTGATTTTTACCAAATTCATCCAAAACTGATACTAATTACTATAAATAACGCTGCAGCTTTCAAAAGAGTTCACCGAGGAAAAAAAAACTCTTACAATAAAAGTTGTAGAGCATCAAATTCCGCGTTCACTGAATACCAACAGTTTTAATATTGATACTCACTCTGTTTGAAATCGGTAATGAATATAGATGGCTGGAAATTGGCAATGAAGATATCTGTAACTTTAAATATTTCAGCAGTGTGGGTGTCCACTGAGTTAATCTTGTTAAGTCTAGTATATATAGTATAGGACTATTTTCCACCTCTCAGCAGCTGAGGATTTTCAGAAATGGGGCGTAAAATAAAATCTGAATTTCATGAAGAAATAACGAATCCCAATTCGAGAGATAAACTATATCTACATTAAAATTATTAGTACTCAGTGGACGCGGAATGTATGCTCTATAACCTTTGTTCTATCATTTTTTTTTCTATTAGAAAAATCATTTCCTAGCTGAAGAGCCAATAATATTAAATTTTCTCAGTTTTTAACGAATTTGGTAAAAATCAGGAATCGTTGCCCGTGGTTATCGACCATACCACTTGACCAAATTATTAAGTCTAGCAATTTTATTTTTACATATCTCAACCAGTATAAACAGGCTCATATATATCTTATATACCTTATCCGATTATTTACGAAGTTTTTGGCGAATTTTAATAATTTGATAAAAAGAGGGTCTATACCACGAAATATATATCTCACAACTTTGTGGTGAGCTAGAAGATCAGAAAGTATAACTCACATCCTATGAGGAGCGTAAATAGCAAGTGACAAGGTGATAAATAGTAGAAGGAAAAGTGGTGAATAGTAAGTGACAAGGTGATAAATAGTAGATGGAAAAGTGGTGAATAGTAAGTGGAAAGGTGACCAATGCAGAGGCCATCGAATTGGGGACTTTTTCATATCTCATTGATAAGTAAAGAGTTCCTACAGAAGTTCTTTGATTTGGATTCAAATTTTAATTTTTTCCTGTCTTGGTACATTTCATTTGCAAGTCAAGCCTTCAAAAATGTTCAAAGTCCATTTTGAGCACAACATTATAACAACAAAATATCAAATTATATAATATGTAGTAATAAATCGTAAGATAACAAACAGCAATTTGTTTGGGAGGGAGAGAGGGAGACTTAAGCACCGCGAGCTACTAGAGTAGTCGGCGCCTATGCATCAGGCACATCTAAAAACACAGAAAACAATTTTTAATTTCACCATAAAATAAAAAATACAATTTATGAACGTGATTGGAGAATAATTTTTCAATTTATTTAAATTTCTTATACTTTTTTATTTTCAAGGCAGTTTCTATTCAGATTTTTGTTAATAAATTATTCAATTTGTCTGAGGGATGTTCAGGACATATCGCACGACTGAATGGTAATGACTTCTCCAAAATGGTCCTTTTGGAATATATTAACGGGCGGAGATAAGTCGGAAGACTTCGCCTGCGTTGGGCAGATTTTGATTGTATGGCGGTTGATGACTAGAGAGTGCTGGAGATCAGAAC